GTCTCCTGAGTGCTGAATGAGAATGGCTTTCCTGCTGGGAGAAAACAGAGCAGGGTGCCAGGACTGGGTCGACAGGGAAGTAGACCTCTTGGAGGCGGCCATGTCTGTAAAGACCGAACGAGGAGCGTGGAGGCGAACAGCCGCAGGGTGCCTGGGGAGCGGGTGGAGAGCCCACTTCCTCCTACTGCAGTCATTCGCACAGCTGGGGCTTGGGTGCCCGGCAATGCCCCAAGCTCCACCACAGCGCTTCCGCCCTCACCGTCGGGTCTGTGCAGCCGTCGGCCACTCCGCGCCCTTCCCGCCAAACCCACACCCAATCAGAAGGCGCCCCATATCCGCTGGCTGAGCATCAGCCAATAGGAAGCAGGATCTGGAGCCTTGGCCCGCCTTGAGGGACTCCGGACCAATGACTGCCCCCCAGCGAATCTGGGGCAGCGCGAGGCAGCTACGGGCGGTTGGGCGCGCGTGCGCCCTGGTGGCTCCTGGCTACGGTGGCAGTTGAAGTCCAGTAGCGGCGACAGGCGGCAGCGGTGAAGTTCACCGTGGTAGGGTCCCGGGGACGGGCCCAGGCCGGCGGGCGGAATAGGCCGCCGCTTGGGGCGGCCAGAGAGGAGGGTGGGAAGGAGGCCGGGGCAGGACGCGGGCGGCCCAGGGTGTCCATGGTGCTCTCGGGTCTGAGGGCAGCGGTGACCGGATGAAGGCGGATTGCCCTGGGAGTCGGTGGCTAAGCGCCCGGCACAGCCGGGTGGGGAGAGGGAGGGAATTTTTTATTTTTTAAAAGTGATGCCCAGCCGGCGCCGTGCTCACTAGGCTAACCCTCCGCCTAGTGGCGCCGGCACACCGGGTTCTAGTCCCGGTCGGGGCGCCGGATTCTGTCCTGGTTGCCCCTCTTCCAGGCCAGCTCTCTGCTGTGGCCCGGGAGTGCAGTGGAGGATGGCCCAAGTGCTTGGGCCCTGCACCCCATGGGAGACCAGGAGAAGCACCTGGCTCCTGCCATCGGATCAGCGCGGTGGAGGGTGAACCAATGGCAAAGGAAGACCTTTCTCTCTGTCTCTCTCTCTCACTGTCCACTCTGCCTGTCAAAAAAAAAAAAAAAAAAAAGTGATGCCTGTGGCGCTGATGGAGTTAGGCAGGATCAGGGTTGTCAGTCTCTGGAAGTAGCGGTGGGCTCTGAAGCCTGGAGGGCGCTTATCCCTGCTCCTAGAGGGGCCCGAAGTGCCTTTGTGCATGTAGCCATGGCTGTTTTTCCTATTGTAAATTTCCACTGAGGGGCTGCGCTGTGGTGGCGCCAGAGATTAGGCCGCCCCGCCTTGGGACTGGCAGCCTCGGTGAGCGCCGCTTCCGGTCGTGGCTGCTCCACTGCCGATCCAGCTCCCTGCCCATGTTCTGGGAAGACAGTGGAAGGTGGCCCAAGTCCTGCCCAGGTAGTTCCAGGCCCCTGGCTTCGGCCTGGCCCAGCCCTGGCCTTTGCAGCCATTTGGGGAGTGAAGCAGCAGGTGCAAGATCTCGCTCTAATTCTGCCCTTTTCCAGGTCTTTTAAAACAAAAATCCAACTGAGAAGTTCTAAAAAGTTGTATTCTCCATTTTGTTTGAAAGACAAAAGATCTTCCGTTTGCTGGTTCACTCCCCAAATGGCCGCGACAAGGCTGCTGGGCCATGCCTGAAGCCTGAAGTTGGAGCCTTGTGGTGGCAGCTGGTCTCCCACGTGTGCATCAGGAGACAGAGTACTTGAGCCGTCCCCTGCTGCCTCCCAGGAAGCTGGAGTTGGGAGCAGAGCCAAAACTCAAACCCAGACATTTGGATATGGGAAGCCAAGTGGCATCTTAACCAGTGTCAAATGCCCACCGTTGAGATGCTTTTTTTTTTTTTTAAGATTTTTTATTTATTTATTTGACAGGTAGAGTTAGAGACAGTGAGAGGGAGAGACAGAGAGAAAGGTCTTCCTTCCATTGATTCACCTCCCAAATGGCTGCTACGACCGGAGCTATGCCGATCTGAAGCCAGGAGCCAGGTGCTTCCTCCTGGTCTCCGATACGGGTGTAGGCGCCCAAGCACCTGGGCCATCCTCCCCTGCTCTCCTGGGCCACAGCAGAGAGCTGGACTGGAAGAGGAGCAACCAGGACTAGAACCCGGCGCCCATATGGGATTCCGGCACCGAAGGCGGAGGATTAGCCAAGTGAGCCACAGCGCCGGCCCTTGAGAAGCTTTTAAAAAGCTTATTCATTGGGCGGCACTGAGCATAGCAGGTAAAGCCTCCTCCTGCAGTGCTGGCATTCCATATGGGTGCTGGTTCTAGTCCTGGCTGTTCCAGTTCCGATCCAGCTCTCTGCTATGGCTGGGAAAGCAGAAGATGGCCCAAGTCCTTGGGCCCCTGCACCCACTGGGTGACCCAGAAGAAGCTCCTGGCTTTGGATTGGCCCAGTTCCAGCTGTTTTGGCCATTTGGGGAGTGAACCAGCAGATGGAAGACCTCTCTTTTCGCATCTACCTCTCTGTATAAATAAATAAATCTTTAAAGTAAAAAGCTACTCATTTAAAAGCAGCACACGGGATCCTAAATAACTACCCAAGTCTGAATAATCCTAGTTTGTCAGCTTGCAATCAAACAGTCCCAGCAGTGTTCTCTCCATAGCAGAGAAGAGAGAAACGTTCCCTCTGTTAGTTCACTCCCAAATCGCAGCGACAGCCAGGGATGGGGCAGGCCAAGCCCCAGAGCCTGGAACTCAGTCGGGAACTGCCACATGGGTGGCAGGGACCCAGGTACTTGAGCTATCACTTGGCAGCCTCCCAGGGTGCAGAGTGGTGGGAAGCTGGATCAGAAGCAGTGTCACGGGGACTCAAACCAGGAACTCGGATAATGGGATGTGAGCATCCCTTTTAGTAGCACTGTGCCAGATGCCTGCCCTGGAAATGGTTTTTATTGAGATGAGAGCTTACTAAAGAAATGTACAATTGGGGGGTGAGTGTTTAGCAGTTAAGATGCCGGTTAACAAGCTTGTGTCCCACATCAGAGTATACAGGTTCTATACCCAGTTCTGGCTTCTGACTGCTGAATCCTGACTCATGCAAACCCTGAGAGGTAACTGGACTCCTGCTGTCCACATGGGAGATCTGGATTGAGTTTCTGGCTCCTAGGCAGTTGTGGAGTGAACCAGGATATGGGAGTTCACTGTCTCTTGTGTCTAATTTCAAATAAATTTTTAAAAAAGAGTTATTTAGTTGAAACACAGACTTACAGGGAGAGAAAGGGAAAGATAGAGATCTTCCATCCACTGGTTTGCTCCCCAAAAGGCCGCAACAGCCATGGCTGGGCCAGGCGGAAGCCAGGAACCAGGAGCTTCATCCGAGTCTTCTACATGGGTAGCAGGGGCCTAAGGACTTGGGCCATCTTCACTGCTTTCCCAGGCGCATTAGCAGGGAGCTAATCAACAGTGGAGCAGCTGGGACTCGAACCAGTGCCCAGATGGGATGCTGGAATTTCAGGCGGTAGCTTACGCATTATGCCACAATCCTGGCCCCTTCAGTAAATTCTTTTTAAAGATTTATTTATTTATTTGAAAGAGAGGCAGAGAGAGAGAGAGAGGGAGAGGTCTTCCATCCGCTGGTTCACTCTCCAGATGGCCACAATGGCTGGAGCTGCGCCAATCCAGAGCCAGGAGCCTCCTCCGGGTCTCCCACACAAGTGCAGGGGCCAAAGCACTTGGACCATCTTTCACCGCCCTCCCAGGCCGCAGCAGAGAGCCGGATTGGAAGTGGAGCAGCTGGGACTCAAACTGGCGCCCCCCTGGGAAGGCAGCAGAGGATGGCCCAAGTATTCCAGCTACCCATGTGGGATACCTGGAATAAAGTTCCTGGCTCCTGGCTTTGGCTTAGCTCAGTCTTAGATGTGGCAGCCATTTGGGGTGTGAACCAAATCCTTCTCTCTAACTGCCTTTCAAATAAATACCTATATCTTTCTGTCTGCCTTTTCAAATAAATACTTTTTTTAAAAATAAAGAAGCCAACACTGGCACCATCTAGTTCCGGCTGCTCCACTTCTGATCCACCTCCCTGGTAATGGCCTGGGAAAGCAGTAGAAGATGGCCCAAGTGCTTGGCCCCTGCACCCACGTGGGGCACCTGGATGAAGCTCCTGGCTTTAGTCTGACCCACCCCTGGCCATTGCAGGCATTTTGGGGAGTACGCCAGCAGATGGAAGCTCACTTTCTTTTTCTCCCTCTCTCTCTCGACTGTGCCTTTCAAATACATAAATAAATCTCTAACAAATAAAAACTATAAAGTAAAATCTAAAATTAACCCAGGTGAGGGTCACAATGGTAATTTATAGTGACTGTCTTGAAAGCAAAGAATAATTTTCTCGGATGCTCTGATTAGAGATGGAAATGGCTGTTCTCCATCCCCATTTTATAAATGAAGAAATTGGGGATTTATGGATGTCACAGATCTTACTTGGATGTTACTGGGGCAAGCTGAGTAGAATGCCAAATAAGGCACTTTGTGAAATACATGGTACCTGGATTTAAGTGTAAGGCAAAATAATCTGTCTTTTCCTCTCTCTCTTAACTCTGCCTTAGAGATAAATGAGTAAGTTATTTAAAAAGTAATATGGATTCAAAATGGTGTCGTTAAGTAGACTCAAAAGGGTTTTTCCCTGAATGTTGGTGGATTCCTCCCTTGGAGGAGTGAGTTCCTTTGTATTGGAGAGCTTTCTGTGGGCTGGCATGGCACAGTGGGTTCAGTTTCCACTAATAACCCCAGCACCCCATACTGGAGCCACCAGTTCAAGTTCTGGCTGCTCAGCTGTCTGCTAATCAGCCTGGGAAACCAGTGGAAGACGGTCCAAGTTCTTGGGCCGCTGCCACCCATGTGGGAGACCAGCATGCAGTTCCTGGCTCCTGGCTTTGGCCTGGCCCTGCCCTGGCTGTTGCAGCCATTTGGGGAGTGAACAAGTGAATGGAAGATCTCTCTTTGTTCTCCGTGTCTTTCAGGTAGATAGACATTGTTTTTTAAAAAAATTCTTTCTACTTTAAAAAAATGCTTCCTTCTGAGATTATTGCATTATGTTTATATTTGAATGCCTCTGCAGACTCTGATATTTGTTGCAAATACAGTAGGAAATAGGACTTCAAGTTCTTAGGATTGTAGATTAGAATTGAATGGGTGAGCACCTCAAATTTGATGTGATCTCTATGAGTATTTGTGGTTTACAATATCCACAAGTCGGGGTGGATATTTGGTCCAGAAATTAAGATGTTACTTGGGACACCCACATTCCATATTAGTGTCTGGGTTTGAGTCCTGCCTGAGCTTCCAATTCCAGCTTCGTGCTAATGCACTCCCTGGAGGCAGCAGATGTCTCCAGTACTTCCGTCAGTGCCTTGCACAAGGGAGATGTGAATTGAGTTCCGGGCTCCTGGCTTTGCCTGCCTCCCAGCCCTGGCTGTTGCAGGCATTTGGAGAGTGAACAAGTGGATGGAAGATCTACCTCTGTTCTCTGTTTCTGTCCCTCTTCTGCCTTCCAAATAAAGATTTTTTAAAATGGGGCCGGCACTGTGGTATGGCAGGTAACCAGCCACTCTCTTCAGTGCCAACATCCTGAATGGGCGCTAGTTCGAGACCTGACTGCTCTACTTCTGATCCAGCTCTCTGCAATGGCCTAGGAAAACAGCAGAAGATGGCCCAAATCCGTGGGCCCCTGTACCTGTGTAGGTCTGAGACCCAGAAGAAGCTCCTGGCTTCGGATCAGCCTAGCTCTGGCCGCTGCAGCCATCTGGGGGGTGAACCAGTGGATGGAAGACCTCTCTTTATCTCTGCCTCTCCTCTCTCTGTGTAACTTTCTCTCTTTCAAATAAATAAAAGCATTTTAAAAATAAAATAAAATTGAATAAATCGCTAGTGTATGTCCAGTCAGGCTCCTGGCAGGAAACAGATGGTCCATTCAAAATGGGTGCCTTGAGGAGAAGCTAAGCAGCATAGATATGGATAGGGTTAAACCATGAGGGCAGGCGTTTATTCTTGGGCTGAAGATACCAGTTAGGACATTCATGTCCCACGCTGGAGTGCCTGGCTTGAGTCCAAGCTGGTCTGTGCTTCTGATCCAGCTTCCTGCTACTACACCTGGGAAGCTGTAGGTGATGCCCAGATGCTTGGGTTTCTGGCCAGCATGAGGAGATCCAAATGGAGGTCCTGGATCCTGGATTCTACCTGGCCCAGCCCTGGCTATTAGAGGCTTTCGGGGGATGAACCAGTGGATGGAAGATGTTTCTCATCTCTGCCTTTCAAATAAATAAAAATAAGTTAATTAAGAGTCATAAAAAAGCATCAAAGGACAGTTCTGGGTCCCAGCATGCCTCATGCCTGGGAGCCGTTGCACTCCTGGGCTTGAAGAGGTCGGAGGAGGAAGTAGTTACTAGCAGTTGAGAAGGCAGCTGTATGAAGAGTGCCAAATGCTAAAGACTGGGGCTTTGATAAAGGTTCTCAGTGAGTCCCAGCCAGTATGTAGGGAGGGAGCCAGGGACCAGGCTCCTGACCACACTGTCTAGTCGGCTGCTGCTGCCTGTATGAGGCCAGAGGCCAGGGACTCCCTCTGATGCTGACCACATATGTCAGCCTCCCGAAGCACACAATGGGATTGAAACGGCAGACTGGATGTGGGAGGGCAGGTGGCAGACACATAGTGACCACGTGGGACCTTGCCCATTCTTTCTCTCCCAATTCACATTATCTTTTGATCAGGCACAGTTCACAAATGCTGTGTATTCAGAGAATTACTGTGGCTGGCCATAAGAATGAGTTCATCTATTTTTTTTGAAAGATCGTTTATTTGAGAGAAAGAGAGAGAGGGAGGGAGATTTTCCATCTGTTGGTTCATTCCCCAGATGGCTGCAACAGCCAAGGCTGAAGCCAGGACAGTAGCTTCATCCAGGTCTCCTATGAGGGAGACAGGAGCCCAAACTTGGGTCATCTTCCACTGCTTTTCCCAGGCTGTTAGCAAGGAGCAGAATCGGAAATGGAGCAGCTGGGATGGGAGATGATGTTGCAGGCAGCGGCTTTACCTGCTATGCCACAGTGCTGGCCCCGGGAATTCATTGGCCACCAACTTTTAAAATAATGTAATTTTTGTGTGATGGCAAACATTTAGGTTCTAGGGCTAACTGTGGCACTTAATAGCTAGAGTGAGCAAGGATACAAGGGTGACCTAACCATTGTAGAAAATGAAAGTTGAAAAAGCCCTAGAAACTGAAGCGTTATACACTGTGAAAGTGTTTCACATGCCCTGTAGCTGCAGCTTGCCTGACAATGAGCGAGTTTCACGTTTATGTTCTGGTTCCCAGCACGAGTGTATCTCTATCCATGTGGCGCAGGCGGGCGTCCAGATCGGCAACGCCTGCTGGGAGTTGTACTGCCTTGAACATGGCATTCAGCCCAACGGTCAGATGCCAAGTGACAAAACCATCGGTGGCGGTGGCGGTGATGACTCGTTCAACACGTTCTTCAGTGAGACGGGGGTGGGCAAGCATGTGCCCAGAGCCATGTTTGTTGACCTGGAGCCCACGGTGGTTGGTAGGTGCTCGGGTACCAGAGGGTGGGATGCCCAGTGTGGGCTCCCCTGCAGAGAGAACAGCTGTAGGAGCCCATGCTGTTGTCGAGTGAGAACCGAAAGGTTCACGATGCACAGTCTGACTGTGCGACTCGGCAACCCCTGACCCACAGCTGCTCTGCCGGCACACGGTGGGCTGCGGAGAGATGTGCCGGGGGCTGCCTCGGCCTTGGTCAGGTGGCTTCTGCAGACCCCGTGTGTGCTGGTTCCCTCCCTGCCGCCGTGCTCTGTGTGCTGGTGCATCTCCCACATGACAAGGTCAGCGTAGAGCATTCGTGTGGTTCTCCCAGCTTAGAGCCCAAGGTCGTGTGAAGGAGAGCTGCAGAGAGATGGGTGTGCCAGGGGACAACAGTGTCACAGCCTGGGAGGCCCAGAGCACCTGGGCAACCCCGACAGGACTGCCCAGCCAAAGCCACACTGACCTAGGCACTGCCCAGTTTTAAATTATTCCTTGAAACAAATCGGTCCCCGTGTGAGGGGTGAGAGCTGCTCTCCCTTCACCGCAGCAGGGAACTCTGGGATTCCTTCGGTGTGTTGACCTCACCCGCTGAGATCCACGAATTGCATGGGTGGTTTTGCATCACAGACGTTTTCTGAGACACTTGCGCCCGTGGGGGCTACAGGGCACAGCGTGTGCTTTGTGGAACTGAGCAGGGCCGGCCGCGCCGTCTCAGTGAGTACAGCAGGCCCCGCCTCCCTGGTCTCTCTGCAGACAAAGTGCGCACGGGCACGTACAGGCAGCTGTTCCACCCGGAGCAGCTGATCACCGGGAAGGAAGACGCGGCCAACAATTACGCCAGGGGCCATTACACCATCGGCAAGGAGATCGTGGACCTCGTGCTGGACCACATCCGCAAACTGGTAAGGGGCGCCCTCGTCCCGCATAGCCTTGGGTTGGCAGGGGAGGTGGCTCCCCAACACTCAGGCCAGGATCAGGAGCCCGACCTGGTCTGCAGAGGCCTCTGCGGAGGGTGCGTGTGCGACTCACTGTGGGTCTTATCGTGTGCTTCTTTGCTTCTGCTCTAACACGTGTTCACCGCAGACGGTCTGAGTCTGTGTTAACTTGCAGAGGCCGAGAGAAGTGAGCCTGGTAGGGGGCAGGTGGGCGGCACGGCCTGCCCGGACCCGGCTCACGCTGTGTGGTTTCTCGCAGGCGGACCTGTGTACGGGGCTGCAGGGCTTCTTCATCTTCCACAGCTTTGGGGGTGGCACCGGCTCCGGGTTCGCATCTCTGCTCATGGAGCAGCTGTCGGTGCACTATGGCAAGAAGTCCAAGCTGGAGTTTGCCATCCACCCAGCGCCGCAGGTTTCCACGGCCGTGGTGGAGCCGTACAACTCCATCCTGACCACCCACACGACCCTGGAATATTCTGATTGTGTCTTCATGGTGGACAATGAAGCTATCTATGACATCTGTCGGCGCAACCTGGACATCGAGCGTCCCACGTACACCAACCTCAACCGCCTGATCAGGCAGATCGTGTCATCCATCACGGCCTCCCTGAGATTCGACGGGGCCCTGAACGTGGACTTGACGGAGTTCCAGACCAGCCTGGTGCTGTACCCCCGCATCCACTTCCCGCTAGCCACCTACGCCCCGGTCATCTTGGCGGAGAAGGCCTACCACGAGCAGCTGTCCGTGGCCAAGATCACCAATGCCTGCTTTGAGCTGGCCAATCAGATGGTGAAGTGTGACCCTTGCCATGGCAAGTACATGGCCTGCTGCATGCTGTACAGGGGTGACGTAGTCCCGAAGGATGTCAACGCGGCCATCGCCACCATCAAGACCAAGCTCACCATCCAGTTTGTGGACTGATGCCCGACCAGCTTTAAGGTAGGCCTGGGCGTTGGGAGGTGTCACCCCATCAGCGGGCAGCAGACCTCCGGGAGAAGGCATACTGTGATTAGCAGGCTGCGTGCCCTGACACACCTGGTTTGCGTCTTCATGCCCTTTGGTTTTTAACCTTGTCCACAATGATTTTCCCCATAGACAAAACTATGGATTCCACATTTGTAAGCTCTGATGAGTTCCCATGTATTGGGGGAGTTTCGAGTTCCAGATCATTCAGATGGAAAATGACATGAGAAACCCAGAGCAGTGTGTCTGCCGTTTCCCACGTGGATGGCTGTGCTTCCTCTGATCACCCACCACTTGTTAGACGCTCTCGGCCCCCTTGATGACAGCTTGACACAGATGACTTATTTTTTTCTTTCAAGATGTATTTTATTTATTTGAAAGGCAGAGTTACAGAGAGGCAGAGGTAGAGAGAGAGAGCGGTCTTCCATCTGCTGGTTCACTCCCCAAATGGCCACAGCTGCCAGAGGTGGGCTCTTCCAGAGCCAGGAGCTTCTCCCAGGTCTCCCACATGGGTGCAGGGGCCCAAGGACTTGGGCCATCTGCTGCTTTCCCAGGCACATTAGCAGGAATCTGGATTAGAAGTGGAGCATGGGCTGACGCTGTGGTGTAGCGGCTAAAGCAGCTGTCTGCAGTGCCAGCATCTCATATGGAGATCAGTTCAACTCCCAGCTGCTCCACTTCTGATCCAGCTCTCTGCTGTGGTCTGGGAAAGCTGTGGACGATGCCCCAAGCCCTTGGGCTCCTGCACCCGTGTGAGAGAAACGGATGAAGCTCCTGTCTCCTGGCTTCAGGTCAGCACAGCTCCGGCCACTGCAGCCATCTGTGGTGCCCCTTTGCCCCCGGGGTGCTGACGTGGGGCAACTTCTGCTCACTGGGAAGCAAGGGAGGTGGAGAGGTGAGGACAGGACCACAACAGGCACCGCGACCTCCCTAGTGGGCCAGGGAAGGACCAGCTTCATCCTCTCAGCCCAGGGAACTGGGACGGGAAGGGAGGGGCTGGTGACCATGAGCACAGGGAGCCTAGGGCCAGGCAGGGGCTCTTGCTGCCAGTGGGGGCTCCGGGCCTGTCAGAGGTCCACCTTCGTGGGTGTGGGGCAGCGCCCCCACAGCGGTTGTGGGGTGCCTGTCTTGAGCAGGGCCAGGCTGCCCAGGGCTGAGATACCTATATCCCCATATCAGCTCTGCCCAGGACGTCACCCTGGAACTAACGAGTCCGGGTGGCCTGCCTGAGAGATGCTCAGTGCTGTGAGTGTACACCTGGGGCTCAAGGCACCTGGGACCCCCACACCCCTCAGGGTCCCCCACCGCCCACCCTCCCCCCGTGCCCTGGCCTCCTGAGGTCATGCGCCCCACCTCACCCCTCCTCTGTCAGCCAGACCCAGGCCATCTCTCCACCACTCTGCTCCTACTTATTCTCCAGGTTCTAGCACAACATGGAGGCAGAAGCCCTTATCCCCATGCTAAGGTGGGCTGCTGAGTCATGCCAGAGACAGCCCAAGATGGCTCCATCCCTGCAAGTCACCGGAGCCCACCCTCCAGCCACGGGGCCTCTCTCCCTGCATCTGTGGGAACAGCCTCCAAGTCCGACTCCTGCCCCAGGCCCCACTCCTGCCAGCACAGACCCGGGGGCAGGGCCATAAGCTGCACCCTCCCTGTGGTCTGTACTGCGAGAGCCCACAAGCAGGTTCAGAGCCACAGAGACCACATCCCTGGCCACCCTTCAGACTAGGTCTTCGTAAGCCTTGAGCCTAGCCCTGAAGCCAGGCACCTGCTGGACAACTGCCCACATGCTAGGCTGGTGCCCCAACCCTGTGGACACAGCTCTGGAGTGGCGATGGCCAGGCTGTGTTGCCTGGGAGCATGGGGACCCGCAAGCCACCCCCTCTACTTAACAGAAACAGAGGCCTCAGAGTAAGAGTGCCCAGTGCTTGCCCCACGTCCAGCTCTGTCTCTGCCTGCAGTCCTGAGTCCCAGAGTCACTCGGCTCTGGCCAAATGCTGACCAGTGCCTGCCTGTGACCACAGCTGGGCTCAAGGTCGGGGCCCGGGGACAGGTGTGCCGCCTCATGTTGGGGTTTCTGACCCCAGTCCCGCCCTGGGGTGAGCTGGGGTGCGGAGGACTCACTGCAGGAACCCAAGCCTGTCAGGGACGAGGCAGCCGCCCTCATCGTCCTCTTCTTCAGTCTCCAAAAGTGCTACTCCTCGGAGTCCCTACAGCCGAGAGTGTACCCGGATAAGAAGTCACTGGGGGAGCTGTCTGCCCGTCCCCTCTCCCCGTGTCCCCAGGGAGGCGGGGTCTGGCTCTCACAGGCACAGTCCTTGAGGCAGGGCCCCACCTCCTCCCTCAGCAACCTGGCCCGTACCTGCTCATATTTCATGATGAGCGCTACTCTCTCCTGGGCCCTCCAGGACCTCAAGGCATTCACATCCAATCTGTAAGACACACACGCACATGGGAGCCAGCACTGGGGAGCCCACGGGAATGCTGACCTGAGGGCTGTCCCCCTGGTCAGAGGGGGGGCTGCCACACAGCCAGGCAGGCGGGAACCTGGTGTCTGGGTCCCTGGAGGATGACTTGTGCAGAGCTCAGGGACTAGGCACCGTGGGGAAGGACAGCCCCCACCTTGCCTCCCCTGCCCTCGGAAAGGATGCTCCTCCCCCAGCCTGGCAGCCACGAGTCTTCCAGGGAGCCCAAGTCTATGGGGCTCCCCGGCCTGCTCCCAGCTCCCGCATCTCTGGGGCTCTCAGAGCTGGCCTCCCTGCCCCACCTGATACCAGCTGACCCGACACCTATTCTTGAACCTGTGTCCAGACTCAGACTCACACCAAGGCCCATTCGACACTGGTGACCAGCAGAGCGGGACGAATGAGATGACTGTAATCACGCTCTACACACAGGGGCAGCACTCAGAGCTCCGCCACATTGCCCATGGAAACCGGTCTGGGAGACCAGGGCCACCCACCTAGGCGGGACCTTCCCCACGCCACAGCTCATGCAGAGAGCAAGTCCCACTCACCTCCATCGAGAATCCATGCGATTCTACCAAATGTGCCTCCTGCCTACACTACCAACTGGTCAGTTGGGCAGTAGACGCACTACTGGCCTCTGGTCGCCTCCCAGCCCAGAGTGCGCATCTCAGTGACTGTGATATCACAGAAGTCTGCCAGCCAATCCCTAGTGGCTCTGCTGTGGCAGGGCTCAGGGTCCTCAGGCCTGGCTTCATTAAAGGTCACCAGAAGTGGGGCCTGTGTTCTCCCCAGGGCCCAGGTGAGAGGGCAGGGCTCTGGCAGAACTGCCCCGGAACCAGGGGTGCCAGGGCCCTCTGCCACCTGCCGTCACGGTCCCAAGTCTCAGGCAACCGGCACCTCCCGCCCCTCCTTTCTGCCTCTGCAATTGTATTACAGCCCAACTGTGAAGGCCTCTTTCTTAGAACAGAAGGTCGCATAGGGAGTCCCACATAGACCTGTCCCCACACTCCGGGGCTGCCCTGCCATGACCTGAACTGAGACTCCCGGGGGAGCAGCCTCCTGTCCTACCACAGGCCCCACCCCAGCACTGCCACCCTCTGCTGCCCCTCCTGCTCTGTTCCAGCCCTTCTTCCCTGGAGTTGTAGGAGGTGGACACAGGGGTCCTCTGGGATGGAGGCAGGGGAGCCTCCCGCTGAGCACCTCAAGCCAGTGTGGCCCAGCCTGTCCAGAGTGGGAACCAGGGCCCTGTCCTGGACACGGGCCAGGGCTTCAGGCACAGAGCACTGAGAACTCCTGGGCACCAGCACCTGAGCCGCATGCTGGTAACACCGGGCTGCTGCTGACCATCAAAACAGGGACAGCACGCGTCAGGCCGCAGGCAGGAGTAGCCACAAGCCCGCGGCTCCCCGGGGTGCTGATCGCAAGGTTGCTCCCCCTGGGAAAGTGGCTCAGCCCTCCCCCAGCACCTCCTTGGTCCTGGGCCCCACACTGCCCCTAGGCTGCCACCTTGGGGCCACAGTCGGTTCTTTTCCCTTCAAGGGCCCACTGCTCTGCCTCCCTGCCCACTTCCCCTGCCCTGGCATGGAGACCACAGGGTGCAGGGCCCTGGTCACCCACACACCTGCTGGCCTCCTCTGTGGAGTGTGAATGAGTGCACCGCTGTGTCGTGTCCAGAGATGCTGTCCAGCAACACTTGGGTTTTAACTGATTCTTTTATTCCCCCTCCCCACTCAGCGTCTCTGCTTTAAATTGCATTGTAAACTCTTTGGAAGACTCACAAAGTGCTGTAAAATAACACAGCGAGTGCTGAATGGGGACCACTCAGCTTCAGCAGTGTAATGTTCCTAATTGGGTGGAGGATGCCCATTCGTTTTCCTTTCTCTGCCTCAGTTCAAACTCCAGATGCCTAGGCTTAGTGTTCTCCACATTGCGTTTTCCTTCACTGGGGGGGAGGTTTGTTCCCCAGAGTCCGTGTGCAGGGAGCATGGGTGCATGGGCCCCAACCCAGCTCCTGCATGGACTGATGCTGGCCTCCTGGGGTGGCTTAGGGTGCACAGGGGTGAGTTCCCATTGTTGTTGCTACAAATGTTTCCTTATTATCAAGGTGTTGCTACAAATGTTTAATTCGTGGATCTGGGGGGGTGGTTGCTTCCATCCACTGTTCCCCTCACCAGAGGCCTGCAGTGGCCAGTGGCTGAGGCCTTAAAATAAATAAATCTTTAAACAATAAAAATTAAAGTTCAAAATAAAAGCAAGTTCCTCTACTTTTCTCCCTCTTTCTCTCTACATCTTTGACTCTACCCGCCTCTCCCTGCACCCCCATGGGATGTTGGCCAACGTGTTGGAGGAAGCACGAAGGCCCTCCAGAACTGTGAGCCAATCAGCTCGTGTGGCTTGCACATCGCCCCAGTCTGTGGGATTCTGTCACAGCAGCAGAGAGCGGACCAAGACACCTGGTGTCACCTGTGTCCTCACTGCACATAGATTTGCATCTGTCGGACGGGGTGTGGTGGGACACAGCCCCAGGGTCCCACAGGTGGGGTAATGAGGGGGTCTCTAGTCCCCAAGCCCTCCCGTCCCCTGGGCTCCCTTTCACTCCTGCAGAGGCAGGGGTCCCCCATTGCTCCTCTGTGGAGGGAGCTCAGTGAGCACAAAGAGCAGGTCCTCCCTGGGGTAAGTGCTTTAGACAGAGTTTGTGGCACCAAGAGGGCTGTGGGACCTTTAAGAGGCGGGCAGAGTAGGAGGTTGCTAGGTGAGATGGGGTGGGGCCCTGGGAAGGGGTGAGTGCTGGGCTCCCAGAATCAGGGCTGGGCCAGCCAAAGGCAGGAAATGCATCTGGGTCTCACTCCCTCGTGGGTGATGGAACCCCAGTGCTTGGACCACCACCTACAGGCACCACCTGAACCCCCGAGTGTGCATTAGCAGGGAGCTGGAATGGCAGCCAAGGAGCTGGGAATAGGACCAGGCCCTCTGATTGGGGATGTGGGCAACCCAATCCGGGATTTCACCTCTGCCTGGTGCGCCCATCCTGACGCATTCTCTCTGTGAAGGCAGCCCAGGTACAAGTGTGGGAGAAACAGGAAAAGGATCAGCCCACCCTGCCCCCACCCCAGCAAGCCCCTTGGGACAGGAGCAGCCACTCCACCCTGTCTGGGCCTCCCAGCAGCTCATTGGTCACCAGGATGTCACAGATGCTCCTCCCCAGACAGCCCTGTGCCGAGTGCCCTCAGTGAGTTGTGTCAAAGCAGGGGGCAGGTGGCAGATCCAGGCTCAGAGGGCACAGACAGGCGTGCGGGGGGCCTGAGACAGGCGGCAGCATCATGACCACAGGGCTGAGCCACCACAGACACCCAGATCCTGGGTCCACTGTGCGGGAGACCCCACGCGGGGTGTGTTTGCGGGGTCACAGCTGCATCCACAGTTGGGGGTTGGCACTGGGACCAGCTGAGGCAGGAGAGAGGATTTCTGGATCATGGCCAGGGGCGTTCATGCCCCCTGAGCTTTAGGTCTTCCTGTCCGGTCAGGGACCTCTTCCCACCCCTTATGTCCCTTGGGCCTGGAGGTGGGAGGTCTCATATCCATCTATAGGTGGGCACCACTGCCACCGTGCATGGCCTCACACTGAGCAGCCTAGCCGGTCTCCCTGCAGAGGGCGGGGCAGCAGAGTGGCAGCTGCTGTGCAGTGTTGGGCACGCGCCCCGGCTCTGAGCCGCAGTGTGCTCACGGTGACGCTGGGACTCTCACTGCCACTCTGAAGGTGGCTGGCCGGCTACGCCTGGTCAGTGACGCATGTGCCCTGAGGATCTTGGCCACGGCGACGGAGATCACACTCCCACCCACCCCGCCCCACACTGCACCCCTGCAGGAACAACACGGACAGCCCTGGATCCAGCCACCACTGGCAGTTATGGCAGCCGGCCCCGCTGCACTGCCCGCCTCCCACACCCACGCCTGGTGTCCGGTCCAGCACTGAGCAGACTCTGTGCAATGCGAGCTTTTATTGTTGCCTCCTCCAATGAGAGGCCGGCAGGCAGCAGGTGGGCTGCACCTGCTGACCACGTAGGTGTGGGACGGCCCTGGGTCTTCTGGCCGGGAGGGCTCCCTTAACAAAGAGGATCTGAGAAGATTTTATTCTGGAAAGAGAAGTCGGGACACCTGGTGAGGCCGGGGCCAAGAGACACCTGCAGGGCGCAGGCACAGGGCACTTCCTGGGGAGGAGCTGCAGCCTGGCACTGGATCTGGGCAGCTAAAGGCAGATCCTCTCCTGCACCCAGGTGCCTGAGAAGCTCTCGTAAAAATCCCTCCCTTGATGAGGAATGAAGGGGAGGTTCTCTGTGGGGGGTGCAGGTGAGGCTGGGACAGGCAGGGGCTACACGGAAGGCCTGGCAAGGCGGAAGGGGCACCGGAGGCCTCCAGGAACACACAGACCCCAGTCCGCTGGCCCCTTCTGTCTCTGGCACACTTGCAGCCTAGCAGTGCCCGTCCCCGCCTGTGCTCACCTGCAGTCAGGGTTCGGTCTGCTTTTTCCCCAGCTGCTGCCAGGCCCGGGAGGACAGGAAGGGCTGTTGGAGGCCTGGTTCCATGCTCAGGAGCCCCAGATGGCCCATGGGGTACAGGGAGAAGGAAACATGAGGTCTGGGGTGGAGGAGGGCACCCGAGGGGTCAGGGTGAGTTAGTGAGATTTGAAGGCAGACAGCACCCAGCGCCCACGGCTTGAAGAAGTTTCAGGCTCTGGCGCTGGAGAGGCTCTGATCAGGGAGGCCAGAGCTGAGGTCTGACACAAGAGGCAGGGCTGCTGTGGGGACAGTGGCCCTGGAGGGTCTCAGGCCTGCCTGGGGGAGCTGAACGGCCATGGAGCCCAGGGATCCAGGTGCACGCAGTCTCCCTTCCTGTACTTGCCTGCACCGCGGGGGTGGCGGCCCGCAACTCTGTGTCCTCATCTGGAGGTTCTTCCCACAGATTCCCAGGCCGGGCTGTGGTGGGCACGAGGAGTGCCCCCTCCCCAGGGGCACGGAAGGAGCCGGTGTTGGGCCAGTCCCGGCTGGACTCACCACAGCACTGATCGCGTGCCCCTTATCCTCCATTGTCAGTTTCCCATCAACGCACTGCTTCAGCGCCAGGGCATTTTACAGCACTAGTGGGTCACTTTGGTAATTTTGCACATAGGAAATATACTCATCGGAGGGTCCTGACAGAAATTCATAAACAGCTGTCTGCACAGCCGGGCAGATGTCACAATCTGAAGAGAAA